ACACAGGAACACACAGGACTTAATCAGACATGGGATCTCTCATCCCTGCAGAACACAGGGAAGAACTTGCATTTCCAACAGCAAGTCCAACGTCACAGTGACTTGCTGCAGTTTGGTGGGCTAGCAAAGTAATTTAAAAACTTGCATCTGGCCCCCGGGAGGATGCAGCACCGTCTGACAGCAGGGAGGATCAGCCCCACAAGGGCCATGAATCAGGGTCAAAAACAACACTGCACTTTGAACTACTTAGTAAAAACCTCTGGTTTCTTACAAAGAGAGGAGTTTGGGCCAGCCATAATGGCCTGTAAGAGCATAGCTTTGAACTGGATTGCCTTTGCTCTGGAGACACTGATTAAGAAAGGAAACGCCCCAGAAATTTAAGAAACCATAAGGATGAGCTTCTAGTCAGTGTCCAGCAGACTGGATGTTGACTACTCCCTTTATATGTGTCAGTTGTGAATAATTTTCCAGCAATAATAAGACCTCATCTTTCTCTGGCTAGACTTCCCTTCCGTGAAGCAGGCATGAGCTAATGGGCTAATCCAGCATGCAGAACAGTCAGCCCGGAAAATGAACACCCGTACTATCAAAGAAGGTAAGGACATCTTCCTCGGTGCACGAGAACGGGAATCCTTCTGCCCTGACGAGGTACACAGCGTCGCTCTCCGCCTTGGCTGAGGCGGGCTTCTCCTCCGAGAGGCGACCTTCGTGGGACGGAGCATCGGTGACCTGGCGCGGACACAGGAGAGGAGCCCCGGGTGAGCGGCGGGAGGCCGCGCTTTCCCGCAGGGCTCGGTGCCCGCCATTTTCGCGCGGCCGTACCTGGCTGTATGCGCGGAGGGCGGCGCGGAGCGGGACCGGGAGCGGGACCGGGACCCCGGCCCAGCAGCAGCGCGGACAGAGCGCGGCGGGCGGCGGCGACCACGGCCATGCCGGGGATCGCAGCTCCGCCCCTGCGACCTTCCTTCCTTCCTTCCTTCGCTCCCGGCAGGCGCTGCACGGGAAGCGCTTCCCGGGCACGGCCGGCTGCCCCCGGGGCTGGGGGTGCTCCCCGCGCCGCGGCTCCCGGGACGGGGCGGGCGGAGTCACCGCGGGCATGTCCTGTCGCAGAGCTTGGCTTAGAACAGCCGGGCTTGGAACGGAACTTAAAGATCGTCCTGTTCCACCCCTGCCATGGGCAGGGACAAGTACCACTGGACCGGGTTCCTCCAATCCCCGTCCATCCTGGACATGAACGCTTCCAGGGATCGGGCAGCCACAGTTTATCTGGGCAGTCTGTGCCAGGGCCTCGCAGGGAAGGATTTCTTCCCAATATCCCATCTGATCCTGCCTTCTGTCACTCTGCCCCTTTTCCTGTCACTCCAGGCCCCTGTAAGTAGTCTCCATCTCTCCTGCAGGCTCCCTTCAGGCACTGGAAGTCTGCCATCGGATCACCCTGCAGCTTTTCTTTTCCAGGCTGAAAACATCCTAATTCTCCCAGCTTTTCCTCAGAGCAGAGGTGCTCCCTCCCTATGCTAACCTTGGTGGCCCCCTCTGGACTTGCTCCAACAGGCCAATGTCCTCTCAGTGCCGAGGACCCCAGGGCTGGATGCAGCATTCCAGGTGGGGTCTCACCTGGAATGAGCAGGGCAGAGGGGAGGAATCCCTTCTGGGGGATGAGCCCAAGGCACAGATGGATTCTTACAGTACAAAGTTTTAGGCAGGGCTTCATCACTGACAAGCCTTTTACAGTCCTCCCCTGTAGACTGATTTTCCAGGAGAGATGATTTTCTGCCCCTCACTCCCATCCCTGCTGGAAGGTCTCAACAGGCAGAACCTGTTGGTGAAGAATATTCCCCTTCCAGGTGGTCTGGGAAGGCAGTCCTGCTGTCATTGCTGCACCCAAGAGAGATCAGGGGGAAAGAGGTGGCACCGGCCTCTCCTAAGTGCACACATGAGGAAGGTGTGTCCTGCTGAACCCAGACACAATTTTTAGGATGAAGCAAAATGAGTAGGAAAAGGCAAGCTGGAATCCCAAACCCCAACGGCGGGGGAACCCAGGGAGGGAATGTGGAGGCTCAGATCCAGGGTATTCAGGCAGGTATCCAGGAGGAAGATGGGCAGGACCCCAGCTTGGTCAGGAAGACCAGGAGAGCCACGACAGCCAGGATACTCCTCCCTTTCCCAGCACCCTGCAGCTGTAGCCTGAAATTGCAAGTATGAGTTGCAATTTCAAGCTGCTGCAGACTGTCAAACCCAAAACACAATCCTGGGTTCTCCAGCACAAGTCTTCCATCTTGCTGTGCTGCCAAGACCCTCGTGTCTCAGAAGCCTTGAACGTTCCTTATCGGCACTTTGGAAATGCGAACAAGCTGATTTATGCCACCCTCTTGCTGCTGGCTGCTGCTTCTCTAGAGTGTTCCTTGTAGGAGCCTTTCCCAACCCTGGGAACAGCACAGCCTCCTGACAGCAGCACTCTCAGCCCTTCTGGGCTTCCAAGGCAAATCACGTTTTATGCACATTTTCAAAGGAATGCTGACCTCGGTGCCCAAGTGGTTCACATTCCAGTCTTTCCTGGCCTACTTGCCAGGTTTATCTTCAAAACCTTCTTTAAATAAGCAGGCAAATGTTGTAGGAGAAAAAAAAAATCAAGATAACCATAGGAATTCATCTTGAGCACTTGTCTCTATCTGGATTGGCTTTTGTGCTTTCAGCTTAACGGAATAAGCAGATCCCCAAATCTTTGGGACCGAGGGAATGTCAGGGGCATTGTTCTCCTGTGAGCCAAGCAGGCTGCAGGGAAAAATCTCTTGAAGGGATGCACATCTTCCACCCATTTTTCCTTTCATTGGCTTGCTTGCTTCCCAAGTACAGGAAAAAACACCCACTGCTGCCTGTCTGGCAGCTTGTCAGGTTTGTGAGAGTTACCTTTAGAGGGCACCGTGTTGTTGGGCAACCGCTGGCACGGAGGTTTCCATGGAATCTCAGAGCTTCCCTAGTTACGTGTCAGATCAGAGTCTCTGCACCTATGGGAGAATATAAAGGTCATCCTAGGACAGGAGAATTTGCATTTATTCACTCGACAGAACTGCTGTGGAGTGAAGTTGCCTTAGGAGAGGGAATCTGCCTCTGTAAAAACAGCACATCTCAGGAGACGCCTCCATACTGCTGTGGACCAAGAATTTATCTGCCTTGGAGAATTCATCCACCTGGCAGGATGCCTTCTTCTTAAAGAATGTTAAACAGGTTGTTGTTAGGAACACCAGCTATTCTTTAGTCTGATCAGACCAAAAATGACGATCAGAAAATCATCGGATGTGATGCTAGGACAAGTGGTTACACTGGGAAACACTCCTTTCCCCTCTGTGTCATCTGCTCTCAAGAAAAATTGACCTTCTGTTCTGTTGTAGTATTTCCCAAAATTATTTATACGCCGTGTTCTTTTTCAAAACAAAATGTTGTTTCCCTTTTTTTTTTTATTCCCGATTCTATATACATGCTCAGTTTTGCAATCTCTTTTTTTTTTACGCCCCTTTCAGCTGGATCCCTCTGTGTTTACCGAGCTGTGCTGAAAAGCTGAGAACTTCAGCCCAGGACCACTTTGCCAGCCCGAGGGCCCTTCCGGAGGAATTCCCGAGGTTCTGCAGCGTGCTGGATAAAGGGAGATGACAGAGGCGAGGCTGCAGCCCCTCGGGCCGAGGAGAGCCCTTCGTGTGACCCTCAGCCATCCCCACCAGCCCAATATTCATGTGAGACATAAAGCCTGCACGTTACATAAGCGTCTCTGCTGGCCAAGTGCTTCCTCCTGCAGCAACCGAGGTTTAATTTTAACTTGCCGCTAAAAAATGAGACGTTCTGTGGGTAGGAGGAAGCGTAGGGGTGGGAACGGAGGTTATTCGTGTGCCAGCAGGAATGTGCCAGAAAGATCAGTGGTGTATTTCTGTTTGATTTACGTGGCCAGCTTAAGTCTGACAGCATCTGTGACAAAGTGCTCCGGGACCCATTCAAGGCTTTTGGCTAATGCAGCCAAAAGGAGAACTGCGAACGTCGTGAAATGCTTGTTAATTACACCATTGCTGCCCAGTAACACGCTGGGTTTTAAAGGTGTCCTAAAAGCAACAGTGCAATTTTAATTTACTTAGAAATGCACTGACCTGGCATTTTGACTTAGTCTGAAGGACGGAGAGTGGAAAATGCAGTTTCAGCATTTAAAAATGTGAGGGAAGCAGATGACTGTCAGCGTGGCCACCTAAGGCGTTAGAGCTGAAACCCCTGACGTGCCAGATGGAAAGTCAGTGTTGTGTGGGGTTGTAGCCTGTTTCGATGTGCCGAATTTTCCTGATAAATCTGAAAGTCATCAGGTTTTCCTCTGGCCTACCTGCAGCAGTGTGAGGTTTTTGGGATGGCCAATTCCCCTTGCGGCAGGAGGGAATTCCTGGAGGTCATGCTGCGCCCTCTCCGAAATCTGGCTTCTTACTGACCTAAACAGAGCCAGATTTTTGTGTGAAAATTATACCCTGGGATTGCAATTTCTGCCATAAACAGCACTGGGATGTGACTATATCTGCCTGCCAAGAGTTTCTTAAAAAAACTGCAGTGTTTTTACCTCAGAAGTTTAGGGGTTTTTTTACCTCAGCCGCCCATAGCGTCACCTGAGGCGTGCCCCTCTTTGCCCGCCGCTTACCCTCACCAGCCCAGTTAGAAACTGTTAACAAATACTAAGAATCTTTTTGTCACGTTTTGATTAAAAACCTTTTTGTCACGTTTTGCTAAAAAAGTGCTCGATGAGGAGGGCCGTTAATACCTTTTTGTTCTTTTCCTGGTGGTGACCTGCGGGCCGGTACCCGGCCCCCTTTGTGCTGAGGGGAGAAGGGGGGCTCGGGAGGGGCGGGGGGTGCCCGTTTCCATGGAGGTGTCTGGGGGCACCCACACGGGCTTCTCTGAGGGGCCGGCACGGCGGCAATGGCTGTGAGGGGACGCCCGAGTGGGATGGCCGTGCCCGGGGACACGCAAGGGCTCCTGAGGGGGAGCCCCACGGCTGCGAGGGGAGCGCGGCCATGCCGGAGCCCCGCAGCTGTGAGGGAGGAGGCGGCGCGGGGGCCGCTGGGGGCGATGGCGGCCGGGCGGGCCGTGTCCCCGCCCCGCGGCGCTCTCCCGCAGCCGCCCGCCCTCCGCCGCCGCTGCTGCCATTGGGAGCCGAGCCGCGCCGAGCCCAGGCAGCCGCCGGTCCCGCTCCTCCGCCATCGCCATGAGCTTCTTGTTGTGAGTACCCGCGGGGCCTGGGGGGGTCCCTTCCTCTTGCTCTGCGCCGTCCCGTCGGGCAGGGCAGCACGGCATAGCCCACCGAACGGCCGCCGCCCGCCCTCCCTCCCTCCCGCTCGCTGCCCGCCGCTCCCCGCCGGCCTGGCGCTCAACCCGTCCGCTCCCCTCTCTCTCCCCTTTGTGCCCCGGCCCCCCCGGGAGCGGCCGGCCCGCTCCGCCGGCAGGGAGCGGCGGGGCCGCCGCGGCCGCGCCGTGAGGGCGTTTGGAGGGCGGGCGAGCGAGCGAGCGAGCCGGGCTTCCCCTTCCCGTGCGGCTTCCCCTTACGGATGCGAGTTTGAAAACAGCCACGGATCTCCAGCCCCGGGGACCTCCCCGGCGGAGGGGTGTCGCTGGCTAGGAGAGAGCGGGGTCGGGGTCAAGCACCCGCCCGAGGGGTCTGCCCGCGGGTCTGTGATGTTTTCATGCGGGTTTCTGGTTTGTGGCGGGCAGAGGTTGGTGCCGTGGCGTTGTGTGGCGCAGCTGTGTGGAAGTGAGCCCCGGTGCAGGTGATGGGGCGGGCGGGGCTGCCGGGCTGGGGGAGCCCCGGTGAGGACCTGGCCCGGCTTTACTGCGGCAGGGAAAAGCTCCCTCGGGAGCCGCTGGCGACTCGGCTGCGAGCGGAGCCCCTCTTCTTGGAATTTCGCTTCGTGGGGCAGAACCGAATGAACTTTGGTCCCTCCCCTTGGAAACAAAGACGGGGTACTTGTGACAATTAACATAAACCGGTTCAGTGACCTATTAATTAAGGCGAAGATGCGCTCTAGGGAAAGAAGGGCGATTGAGGCAGCTGGAAAAGGCACCCCGGAAGAGCCAAGCTCCATTAGGGCCTTGTCCCCGCTGAGTGCTCCCGCACATTCCGGGTTCCCTGGCACTGCCGCCGGAATATCTGGCAGTTGTTGGAGGCTTACGCTGATAACCAGCAGATGTAAACGTGGCCTGGGCTTGGGGAAGAGACTTTATCTCAGAGCTGGAGTGTCCTAGTAAGTTGTGTTCTCATGGAGACAAATAACCCTGGCGGCTGGCTTCCTCCTCAGTCCCTCCCTTGTGTTTATCTTTTAACTCTGCCGTCCCCATCCCGCCGGCCTGCCGTGCTCCCGGAGGGATTGCGGAGGGCGCAAACGGGAGGTGGGTGCAGATAATGGCCCGCGGATGGAGGCGCCGTGCTCCTAATGAGGAGCCCAGCTGTCCCTCTCCTTCGTAATTCTCAGCTGCCACGGTGGATGGGGAAGGGGGGGACAGGATTCCGAGTGTCCAGGGAGTCTGGTTTGCAAATTAGAGGGCCTCCCTCTCCGTGGCATTTGGGGATGGAATAAGCGTGAAACCCTCCACCCTCTGTCACAGGCAATAATGAGATGCTTGTTTCTTTTTTCAGACCCTTTTTTTCCTGAAACCTAGGGCAGCAAATCTTTACCCCCACCTCCATTTTTCCAAGTTATCCTTCTGGATGAAACACAGAAGTGGAGACTGGAGTTAGTGCACGGCAAAGCTAGAAATGTTGGCGAGGCTGCCTCAGCTGTTGTTGGCAGAGTGCTGTAGATGGCACCTAATTTGCTCATCTGTAGTCTAGAAATGGGTTTAAAAAAAAAAAAAAGGTTGAAAATATGCCTGCTAGGCCTCGAGGTGACCAGGGAAACTTGGTGTGATGCTGACACGGAGTTTTGGTGGGTTTTTTTGGTTGGTCGGCTTTTTTCTTAGTGATGCAGAAAGTTAGCATGACCTTTTGTCAGACTTGACTTTTGGCTTGATAAGAGTTATTCCAAGATACGGTGCGTGGACGTCTGCAGGTTAATTAACAGCGCCAGCTTGCATTTTGAGCTGCACACCCCCTTGTGTTTTTTGCACGGTGCTTGTAGCACGGTACTTTTTCACCCCTTTGTCCCTGCTGTGGAGGTGCCGGTGTCCCTGCCTCGGTGGCCCCGCTGTCCTGCAGCGGGCTGGCCCTGGGGATGGCTCGTCCTTGTGCAGCGGCGAGGTTTCCTGTGCGGCAGCGATCCTGTGGCGCAGGTTCCTGTGTCAGGCAGCGGGCTGCAGCCTGCCAGGGTGACACCCAGCACGGTGCCAGGAGCTCTGTGCCCTCCCGCAGGCTTCCAGAGCGGGGGGATTGTGCTGGGATAACCCCTTGTCCGCTGACAAATCCGTGGCTATTCTTCCCTGTTGCTAGGGCCAGCGATATATAAAGCTGAATAGGGAGGGGGGAAATAAAATCAAGGGGAGCCATTGTCTTCTCTGCTTATGGGGAACACTATAAAAAGACTGTCTTGTGAGGCGAGGCACTGAATTAATACAACTGGGGTTTGACAGCAATTGTTATTTTCAGAGCCGCGGTTTTCTCCTTCTGATCCGTTTCTTCCTTTCTGAAAAGACTTTGTAAACCTCTCCAACAGCTGAATAAGTTGTCCCGAGTCTTTAAAAATGGGAATTGGGCTAGGAAATATCTCCAGTTCCAAAAAAACCACTGCTTGCTAAGTTCTCTCTAAAAGCAAATTACAGCATAGTTGCAGGTAGTTTAGCTTACATCTCCAAGGAAAAAAAAAATTAAAGATAGTTCTGGTGGGCGTGCCATATGGTAACATGCTTGTGTTATCCTCTGCTGGCAAGACTTACATAAAAAAGGAAGCTAGATGAAAACCATTTATTTATAAAAGGAAAAGATTCAGATTTATTACTGAAGTCCTGAAATTGTCATTTCTTTAAAAAAAACCCACAGAGCCCCTATCTTTGGATTAGTGAATCCCTCTCCGAAGTTTCCAGCACAGGGTTTTTTAAAAAGGAGATAAATTTAAGTAGTTGTTGCCTGCTCAGCCTTGGAAGGACGAGGAGCTGCTGGAGGTGAGTGAAGGCCAAAGTTAACTTGTAAACCAGACTGGGCCAAGATGTGCTCTTCCTTCACTGCCTTGTTCTACAGCACAGTGGAGCCTGGCAGCTGCTTCTGATTCTCCACTTGGTTTGTTGTTTTCCTGTTTTTATTTATTTATTTTTAAATTGAAACCACACTTTGTGTGTGGATATATGTGCAGAAGGCATAGTGAGGCATTACCTTTTTTTTTTTTTTTTTTCCCTGACATCTCTTGCAGATGAATACCAAAATCAGAGCTGTTGGATTTGTTTTGAGCTAGACAAGCAGCGTGGCCTTCCCAATTCCTGCTCTTGGAGAACATCAGGGCTGTTTGCTTTTGTCCCTTCCCCAGCCTCCGGAGGTGCCAGGTTGCTGCTCCTTGTCCAGCCGGGCAGTGTGGCAGCTGAGTGCTTTGTGATTGCTCCTTCCATACTTTTGGAGATGTGTTTATCTCCTCTCGATCAAGGACTCACCCAGAGGACCGGTAGGCACTCCTAGACTGGAATTTGCTCATGGAAAAAATCAGCATGTAGGCATTTGCAGACTTAGAAATGGGAAATACGGCGAACATCCAGATATTTCCCCCCGCTGTTTTTCAATGCATTTATTTACTTCATTTTTATCTTGAGGAGTGTAAGGCTACTGTGGGATCAGGGCAGAAGCTCTCCACACAGGGATGTGTTAATATAAAATCAGCTGCTTGACTGCTACCATTAGTGCTGTGTCCAGTTCTGGTTTTTTGTTTTGTTTTCTTTTTTTTTTAAAGTACCAAGATTGAGAAGTCTCTCGAGTTTTCCCACGAGTAAATTGGAGAGAGTGCTGTAAAGCTATTGCCAGCTTCCCAAATTTTTTGGTAACAGTAATTTTTAGTTTGGAGGAAAGCAGAAGCATTCCCTAGCGGTGGGGTTTGAACGGAATCAGCTCTGACCATCACCTTAGAGCAGAGTAAAGCGTGGGGTTTGGGGTGTCGCATGATGGAGCGCGGCTGCCTTATCAGCGAGCTCGGAGGTACAGAGCAAGCAAAAGCTGCAGCCTGGCTTTTCCTTCTGCAAGAACGAGCCTGCCTCCGAGTCACAGAGCCGTGCAGAGCAGTTCGGCCTGGGAGATGTCTGCGCTTGGAAGAACAGCGTTTGCTCCTACCGCTGCGTTTTGGGAACGAGGAGTGGGTGAAGTGAGCGATTGTCCCTTCTGAGCGTTGTCAGATAGCTCCTTCTCGGATAGAAGCATTGGTTTGGGATGGAAAAAATAGCTTCGGAAGAAAGGCATTGTTCAGTGTGTGAAAGCTGTGTTTACTACATCGCAGTGATGTCCGGTCTTAATTGCTTCCTAATTGTTTGCTTTTATGCCACGATTGTTTTCCCTTGTTTGTCCTTCCCTCTTTGTTTAAGTGAGCCCATGCCATTAGCTGGGAGGGATCACTTTTTGGGGGTGATTTGCGTGCTGGAGAGCGGCTGCGTTTTTGTCTTTATCAAATGCCTTAGTCACCTTTTTACTTTTCAGACGGGGCTTTGGATTTAGGGCCTCTTCGTGGCCGCAGTTCCACCTGGTGCTGTCCTGAGACACACATTTTTATCTTGTCTGAGAGAGGATAAAATATCAGAAGTGTTTGTCCGCCAGGCAAGGAGGGTTTCAAGAGGCTCACAGAGTGAGGCTGCTTGTTTTTCTTAGAGAAGTAAATAACTGCATTAAATTTGGCCACTTTAAGCCTTCCCTCGTAAGCAGTAGGGCCGATCTTGCTGCCAGAGCTGTCAATAATATCAATTTGTGACCCACAAATCAGCCTGAACCGCAGGATGTGCCTTGCAATGCTTTTAGCATTTGTAAACTGAGCCACTTCCTATTGGAGCTGAGCTTGCTGTTCGGCTTTTGTTCTTTTTTTGGGTTTTTTCTTCTCCTTTTAAATACGCAGGGAGACTGTGGGTCACAAATTCAGCTGCTTGTTAATCTGTTTTCAGCTAGAACTGAGAACAACAATTGCTTTTCTGGGACATAGAAACATTGCTCCAGCCTTTACATTTCATGTAAAGGGTTGTGAGGATCCAGTGCTTTGCTCTGTCATCTGTGTATCCTGATCTCCCAGATGATTTCCCAGGGCACTGCTGCTTGGGTAGATATTTTGAGGTGA